TATAGTACGGCACCCTTATAAACAGGACCCTAAAGGGGGCCCTAATTTAGAGAACTACCCATATAGTAGATACCTAGGCCTTAAAGTACCTATATAGGGACCCCTTTAAGGCCTAAGTATCTACTATGTGGGTTCATGGAGCCCCAAAAAATCCTCAAACCCCAGAAATCCTAAGGCCCTAAACCCTAAACTCTACCTAAACCCTCCAAACCCCCTAAGGCGCACTCTTCTGTGGCCGCCCCTCACCGTCGGTTGGGGGCCCGGGGCTCACGGATGCGGAAGAGTTCCGGTTGGAGCTTCTGGACCTTCGTGGCACATGGGCTAGGGTTTGTGTTTTGTGGGTTTAGGGTTTAGGGTTTAGGGGGTTTAGAGTTTAGGGGGGTTAGGGCTTAGGGTCTAGGGTCCCTTGCATATAGCCCTAAACCCTAAACCCTAAAGCCTAAACCCTGAACCCTAAAACCTAAACCGTAAAAGGGTTCCTTATCGGGGTCAAAAAAGGGATCTATGATTAAGGATTCTCTATTCGATTTATGCTGAATTGGAGCTTCTTAGGGTTTGAAAGTTCCATGAACTCCTGGCCCTTCCGTCTCTTGCAGGAACGTCGTGCCTACAGCTGGCGATGTGGATCAAAAGAGGCCCCGCGGCGTGCATAGGGTTCTAGAAGCTCCGTAGATACCGAGCCATCCAATCCCTTGTGCACTCCTGGCCTTCCTCATCACGAAGCTCGTTCCGAGAAGCTACCAGTCGTTACCACTTTCATGGTAGCGGAGCCTGTGGCGTGAAGCTGCAGGCTCGGTGTTCGATCCAGGGAGTTTGTGGCTCCGGAGGGGGAACTCTGGAGATACGATGAGTGGGACGACAGAGACCGCGTCGACGGCGATCACCAGGACAAAGGACGGCGTCCCCTGTTGGGGGGGCGAAGCAAACACCTTTGTGCAGTATGAAGAGGCGGCTCTTCTTTGGGAGCAGTCGCTGACGTGGGAGAAGCGCTATACAGCAGGACCGAAGCTGGTTCAGGAGCTGAGCGGGGCTGCAAAGAGATATGTCGCGGGGCAACCTGCGGGCTGGGTCGCCTATCGTGGGGGCGTGGAGCGGCTCATGACCTATCTCAGACAGGCCCTAGGCAAGCCAAGAGTGAACGAGGTGACGGACCTGCTGGCGACGTACTTCAAAGGGACGAGGCGGAAGAGCGGCGAGAGTATGAATGAGTACATCACTAGGAAAAGTGAAGCTTACATGCGGGCCAACCAGGCCATGAAGAGAGTGCAGCCACACTACGAGACCGGGGCTCCGAGGCCCGCTGCCTCTCCATGGGGCGCCGAGCGGCGCCACAGCGGCGACTACTACAGCTACGGGTGGGGACGTCAGTGGACACCCGCCACCGAGACCGACGACCAGACCACTGGCCTTGCGGAAGACGAGGCCACCCATGACGGGTCCACACGGGCCACCGACGAAGCAGGTGAATCCGAGGATCAACAATGGCGCCATGCCTGGCGTCCGACCGGAGGCTACACCGGGAGCTGGAACTGGAACTCCTCTTGGTATGGATCAGGGGGGAACTGGAACTGGTCATCCTCGAGCTCTACGGCGACTTCGGAAGATTCCACCCAGAGGGCTGTTGAGGTCCTCCCAGCCTTCATTCAGGGGTGGTACCTGCTCATGGACGCCAATTTGGACCATGGGGAACGGAACTTGGTGGTGACGGCCTTGAACGGGAACTTCAGCCCTCAGCGAGTCGGCCAGGAGCTGAGGAACCAATTCCCAGAAGGGGAAACACGACGGCGGGATAGCCGCCGATTCCAGAGCTACCTCGGTGAAGCCGAGGACTACATCCCCGACGATGCCGAGTTGATTGAGGGCGGCTACGACGTGGCAGACCTGGAGGCCGATGGGTGGGACCACGAGGAGATCGCGCTCATTGCGGAGGCGGAGAACCAAGCCCAGGAGGCCATGGCGGTCATGAACGAGGCCCGGCGCACCTTGAAAGAAGCTCGGCACAAGCAGAAGGTCGTGAAGCAGAACCGGAAATACTATGGGAACTCGGGGAACCGAGGGCCTTCCAGCTTCCCGAGCCGAGTGCGCGACGACTCCAATCTGGATTGTCTCAGGTGCGGACAACGTGGCCACCGGGCAGCAAACTGCCCCCAGAAGCCTTTGGGCACCGCCGCCCAGACGGACGTGGGAACCGCGAGCGGCAGCTCGCAGCAGGCGCCTTTCGTCTGCATGGCCGAGGCGACCGTGGACCAGGACCTGAGCCAGATCTACAAGGAGAACTCGGGCAACTACGTGCAAGCAGCTTTGAGCGCGGGCATAAACCAGGATGCCCTCACCACCCAGGAAGCAGTACGACGCGGCATGTGCGTCATCGACGGCGGCGCCACCCAAACCATTGGGAGCATCGAGGCGCTTGAGGCAGTGCTAGAGCAGAACCGGCGCCGGCATGGAGCATCTCGCCTGAGGGGCATCAATTCTGAGAATCCGCCAGTTTTTTCCTTCGGAAACAGCACCGAGAATCGGCGCTGTAGCACAGCGAAGATCGAGGTGTCGGCAAACGGCAAGCCTGGAGAAATCCAGGTTCACACCTTGGATCAAGGGCAAAGCCCAATTTTGCTTAGCGTGGAAGCTTTGCGGCGGCTTGGGGCTATCATAGACTTCCGAGAGGATTTGGCTGTGTTTAGGGCTTTGGATGATCAAAAGGTTTTACGGTTGGTTAGGGGTCAATCGGGTCATCAGCTCTTGTCTTTGACGGAAGATTGGATGGCCAAAGCTGAGCCTACTGCCAAAGCTGTCCCAGGACTTTCTTCTTATCTTCGAGGCTAGGGACAGCTCCTTCCTGATTCTGACCCTGACGGGAAAAGGAAGGTTTGTGAGTTTTTATCAGGGACGGGGTCCCACAGTGCCACAGATGATCACACTGAGAATGTTGTGTGTGTTACGAGTGGTAGTGTGCAGACTAGGGGTAGCGAGTTTTCAGATCTCATGTCGGTTTGTGACAAAGCCTACAGTGAGGGAAGGTGTGCCAGAGATGCAGTGCAGACCGGAAGCGGTGACGAGCAGGAACAACCCAGCCGAGATGGCAGCAATCCCGGCTCACTTTGTAGTGCCCCTTGTTTACCTGTTCGCACTCCTCGCCATGGACTCCATGAACAAGGCCAGTTTGATCTTGCGTCTGCGCTCCTACGGGGAGGAGCCTCCCGAGACGTGGTCGAAGCTGGAACTGAAGCAACGGCTTCAGGATCTCATCGAGAGTGGCGAGATCCCCGCCATCAAGAATGTGAAGGAGAAGACCGCTTTGCAGAAGGCGGTAACGGAGCTCAACAAGCAGGGCAAGAAGGCGGACCTGATCCGCTATGTGGCTTCGGAGTACAACATCGAGGCCACCCCGAACGACACCATCGGCACGATTCAGCGCAAGGCGATGAATGTGATCCTGGCGACGACAACGCCGAATGGGGGCGACCTCATGGGGTTCGGCAAGTTTGCTGCCAAGACCTACCGCGAGGTTCTGGACGAGGAGCCCAAGTACGTGGAATGGGCTCGCCAGACCGAGATGGAGGGCGAGTGCAGCGTCTATCTACGTCGGTTCATCCGCTGGGTGAAGCTACACGCCGAGCAGGAGACGAACGAGAAGATGGTGGCGGTGGCAAAGGCGAAACAGGGGGCCCGAGCGGCGCCAAAGCGCACAGCGGCCACTACCAAGGGCTACCCGAAGATCAGTGCCCCAGTGGAGGCAGCAAGCGGCAGCAACGATGCGGCTGTAGCGGCACTGACCAACGTTGTGGCCCAGCTGGTCCAGGAAGTCCAGACGATGAAAGAGGAGCGTGCCGAGAAGCCCCGGAAGGTGCTGGCCAAGCCGGACATGGAGATGGAGGCGCCGAACCAGGACAGGGGATGAGTCTTCAGGCTTCTCGGGTTCTTGAGCATAAGTTCCAGGATGTGGTTCCGAACATGTTTGAGAGCCTTGTGAGCCAGCAGCGTCTTGATCTTCTGGAAGTCATGTGCGAGCCTGACAGCCTGCTGACCAAAACCTTCCAGAGCAGGACGGGCCGAAGTGATAGCGCCTGTAGGTGCTCTTTGTGGTGTGGCCATGACCTCGCCACAACAGGAGGGCTAGCCATAGTCTTAGAGCAGATTAGGACTGTGAAGCCTAGGCATGTTTGGATAGCCCCTCCCTGTGGACCTTTCTCGCCCTTGCAAAGCATCAATCAACGCACTCCTAGCCAAATCCAAGACCTGAAGGCTAAGAGAGCCAATGCCTTGCGGATCTATGAGAGTACGCTGGAAATAGTCAAGGTGTGCATTCAGCTGGGGGTGCATGTTACGGTGGAACTTGCGGAAAGGTCTGAGGCTTGGAGGCTGCCTGTGCTTCAGAAACTGAGGCTTCATATGGGTTTGCATACTTGTGTGGCGAAGGGTTGTGCTGTGGGGTTGAAGGGACAAGAGGGTCAGCTTATGCAAAAGGGTTGGCGACTGGTCACCACTCATGCTAGGTTAGCTAACATGCTCTACAAGCCTTGTCGATGCCCCACCAACTATCGTCATGCCAAGTGCGAAGGGAGTAACGCTAGGGATTCCAGTAGATACACTCCGGAGTTTTGTCGGCTTGTTTATGAGGCTCTTCGGAAGGAGGGAGACTTTAAGGGGGTGATTCAGGAGTGTTCGGGGGAGTCGTGTCTTCATTCGGAATTCGGGCACGGGTTTCGGTGTACCTGCGGCGAGAGCCGCGACCCGGCTGTATGCGGCAGCTGCCTGGTTCAGAGGACCCAGACAGAAGAGACCGAGGAGAGCTACATTAGCACCCTCGAAGCCAAACACCTCGAAGCCAAAGCTAAGGAACTGACCAGTAGGAGTAGCCCGCCCAGCCTTGATCAGGTTCGAAACATCCTCGAAGAACATCCCCTGCAGAACACCGGCCACTCCCGAAGAGACCAAAACCAGTCATCCGATTACAATCTTTTCGGCGTGTATGCGCACGGAAACCACTATGGCCTTACCAACCGCACCCGCGATCTCCCCGAACTGTGCCGTAGTATCAACAAAGCCTTACGAAGCCAACTCCCAGCCGGTCTGAAATGGAGCTCCTTCGCGCTGAACCATGGTAGCTGTCTTCCTATCCATCGAGACTGCCACAACAGTCCTGAGCACCCCAATGCAAGCATAGGGTTCGGAGAGTTTTCGGAGGGCGGTCTTTGGATTGAAGGGAAGGAGTCTTTGTGTGGCCGGAAGGGTAGGGTGTCAGTCAGGACGAACGGCAATGGGGATACCATTGAGGGATGTGAATATGACATCAAGCTGAAACCTGTGGTCTTCTCCCCAAAGTCATGGCATGGATCCTGTGCGTGGCATGGCGATCGTTGGGTGGTGACGGTGTTTGTGAGTAGGGGTTTCGAGCATGTGGGTGATGATGAGGTGACCCGACTTCGGTCTTTGGGCTTCCCCACTCCCGAGAGAACCCAACAGGCCTACCCTGCGGTGCAACGTAAGATCTCTCAGAAGCAGAGGGATCCGGATGAAGTTATCAAGAAACAGTTGTATCTTCTGCATTGCGCCACGGGCCATAGCCCACCAAAACACATGGTTCAAGCCTTGAAGCGGAGGGGTGCGGACGAACGAACTCTGAAGTTGGCCGAGGATTTCAAGTGTTCTGTGTGTCAGGAGAAGCGTAGGCCTCAGACTAGGAATCTCGCGACCCTGGAGCCCCTTCCTCCCAAGCTTTCTACCATTTGCGCGGACATAGGGCACTGGGTTCATCCCCATACTGAGGAGAGTGTGTATTTTATGCTCATCATCGATGAAGGCTCGAGGTACCGCACTGCCCGCATCATATCTAGAGGACCCCGGCAGGCTCCTAATGCCCAACAGTGCCTCCACTATCTTCAGGAAGGCTGGGTCCAGTACTTCGGCTACCCGAGATGTTTGAGGCTCGACCCGGCAGGGGCTTTCCGTAGCCAAGCAGTAGAAGACTGGTGCGATCGTCACAGTGTGTTCCTGGACATCATTCCAGGAGAGGCACACTGGAAGATAGGAGCCTGTGAGAATGCTGTTCATGGCGTCAAGGAGATCATGCAGAAACTGTGTCTGCATGACACAGATCTGACAACTGAGGAGGCATTGTCCGAAGCAACTGCGTGTTTCAATCAGAAGGAACTGATTAGAGGTTTTTCACCGGCCCAGCACGTGCTGGGACAGGCACCAGACGAGACTGGACGCTTCCTTACAGGGTGCAAGCAGCTTCCGCCCGACCTGTTGTGTGAAAACAGCGCAGGGGAGTTTGAGCGCGCCGTCAAGCGGCGCAGTGAGGCTGAGAAAGCTTTGTGTGAATGGCAGGCGCAGCAGAGACTTCAGAGGGCGAAGCACTCACGGCACAGGCCGTGCTACGACTACCAGCCGGGAGAGCTAGTGTTTTACTGGAGGTGCCAAGACGCTCAGAAGGGGCGGCGCCAACCAGGTGGCAAGCACGGCCGTTTCCTGGGACCAGCCAGGATCCTCGCGACGGAGTCACGGCGCGACGAAGGAGGCAACCTCAGACCAGGGGGCTCTGTGTGGCTGGTGAAAGGCCGGAGCCTCCTAAAGTGCAGTCCGGAGCAACTGCGCCGCGCGTCAGACCGCGAAGAGCTGCTCGAAGCTATGGCGGCTCCTCATGAACAGCAGGCCCCCTGGACCTACCACATGGTGGCAGAGCAGATCGGGGGAAACCGCTACGAGGATATCTCTTCAGAGATCCCCCAGGTGGAGGAGTGGCAGAGAGCGCAGAGGCCTGAGGACGAAGTGCAACCAAGCCGTTTCCAACGAGAGCGACAACCAGCCGCAGGACGAGCTACAGAGGACGTGGACATGGAGCAGGACGCAAACGCCCAGGCCCCAACCACACATCGGGAGCGATCCCGAAGCAGGGGGCCAAGGACAGCGGCCACTTCTTCTACGCCTCCCGCAACAGCCTGGTGGTCCGACGTGAAGGACCCCCAGTGGCCGTTAGAGCAGAGCGCGTATTGGAATGATACTCAGGCAGCCGTGGAGATCGAGATTGACCTCCCCGAGAGCAAGCGAGGACTCAACAAAGTCTGGAACAACTTGAGTGCGCATTTCGTTGGAAGCTTGAAGCGGAGGGCCGTGGAACTGTCAGAGCGGCGCATGACGCCGCAAGAACTGGAGGCCTTTCGCGGGGCGAAAGCCATCGAGGTCAAAAATTTTGTGGCCTCGCAAGCCTTCGAAATCCTTCCCGATCACCTCAAACCTGACAAAGGCCAAGCTATCAACATGAGGTGGATTCTCACTTGGAAGCTACGTGAAGACGGAAGCAGGAAGCCAAAAGCCAGAGCAGTGCTTCTTGGCTACCAAGATGGGAGCTACGAACACCGATCGACTACTTCTCCAGTGATGACCAAGCAGACCAGACAACTCCTATTGCAAATGTCAGCATGGAAAGGCTGGCGTGTGCGAAAAGGAGATGTGACTGGGGCTTTCTTGCAGAGCAGAGCTTACCCGGACAAGCTATATTGCATTCCTTGCCCTGAGATCTGTGAAGCGCTCGGCATTCCTGCCGGGAGCGTGACACGGGTCCAGAAAGCTTGCTATGGCTTGGTGGATGCTCCTTTGGAGTGGTACAGATCAGTGGACACCTTTTTGCAGCAGCTTGGTTTCGAGCGTTTGTGGTCGGACTCATGTTGCTGGGCTCTTCGGGCCAACGGAGAGCTTCGCGGGCTCATCAGCGGCCATGTGGACGATTTTCTCTTTGGGGGAAAAGAAGGGGATTCCTTGTGGGAAGAGAAGCTTAAGGCCATTAAGGACCATTTCAAATGGAGTGATTGGGAGGAAGGGAAGTTCACGCAGTGTGGGGTGGTGGTTGAACAGTCTGACACTGGGTTTGAGCTGTCTCAACCGAACTACTTGGACAACATTCACGAGATTGGCATTAATGCTACCCGTAGGAAAAACCGAGAAGACCCCACGAGCGAGAGAGAGCGAACCCAATTACGCGCCTTGCTAGGAGGATTGAGTTGGCATGCCCAGCAGGTCGCCCCTTACCTTGCGGCGGAAGTAGGGTTGCTTCTAACCGAGGTAACCCGAAGCACGGTGGACACCATGGTGCGGACCAACATGCTCCTGGCCCACGCAAAGCAGAAGCAGTCCTACAGGATGAAAATCCACAGCTTCACTCCCGAGACCCAGATCATGTTTGTGGCGTGGGTCGACGCGGCCAACGGCAACAGGATCAATGGCGGGTCCACTCAGGGCATCTTCGTGGGAGCTACTCCGACGAACATCATGCAAGGAGATGTGTGTGATGTAAGTCCCGTGCTATGGCACAGCCAGAAGATCGACCGGGCTTGCCGCTCACCCGGAGCGGCGGAGTCCCAAGCTGCAGTCAACGGCGAGGACGATCTGTTCTCCACAAGATTCCAGTGGAGCGAAATGCTACACGGCAGGCCAAACCTTCACAATCCTGAGGAGACGGTCAAGATGGTGAAGGGATGCGTGGTGACGGACAGCAGAAACGTCTACGACAAGTTGGAAACGGAGGTCCTGGTGATTAAAGGATCAGAGAAGAGGACCAGCATTGAATTGCTGGCCTTGAAGGAGGCCCAGTCCCGGACGGGTGTGCAAATGCGCTGGGTCCATAGCGAGGCTCAGCTCGCAAACTCTTTGACAAAGAGCAACGGACACCGCGAGTACGACCTCTACTACCGTATGGGTCACAAATGGCGATTGGTGGAGGATGAATCTATGATGTCGGCACGGCGGAGGAAGGAACTAGGATTACAACCTTTGGAGCAACCGGCTAAGAAATCTGAAACTAGTGTGATTGATGAGGGGTGTGATCATCAGTCGGCAGAGCCGAAGAGCTCTACAAATCTTCTCCAGAAGGAGAGGGGGGCATGAAAGTTCCATGAACTCCTGGCCCTTCCGTCTCTTGCAGGAACGTCGTGCCTACAGCTGGCGATGTGGATCAAAAGAGGCCCCGCGGCGTGCATAGGGTTCTAGAAGCTCCGTAGATACCGAGCCATCCAATCCCTTGTGCACTCCTGGCCTTCCTCATCACGAAGCTCGTTCCGAGAAGCTACCAGTCGTTACCACTTTCAGGGTTTAGGGTTTAGGGTTTAGGGTTTAGGGTTTAGGGCTCTCAAAGGCATAAGGGTTAAGAGTATAGGGTTTAGGTGCTGCGTTAGGCCTCTGTAGGGCTAGCGTTTAGCGTTTGGGTGTTACGGCTTTCTAGGGTTGGGGGTTCAGACTGTAGGATTTAGGTGTTACGGCTGTCCAGAGTTTAGGGGATCAGACAGTAGGATTTAGGTATTAGGGCTCTCTAGAGGTTGGCTGTTTGGGTGTTAAGGCTCTGTGCAGTTTAAGGATTCAGTTTTTAGGGTTTAGGTCTCGGGGCTCTCTAGGGGTTAAGGGTTTAGTGGCGACTATGACTTGTTAGGGCATAGACTGCATAGACCTTTAGGTCCAGCTTTGCATGCTTTGACTACAGAAATCCAAATGCATAGTTACAAGGGTCAGGGTGTGTCCGTCACCGTCCAGATATGACTTTTGCCTGATGTCCTGCTTGGTGCTGTTGAATTTAAGGCAAACTGGTGCGAATTTTACAGGGCGAGGTGTCCGTTGTTGCCTCCATCCCGGAAAGGGACGCGCGCAGGGGTTGAGCTTGTGGTTGAGTGCTGAGTGCGGGGTTGCGCTGTGCTGCATACTCCAACAGTAGGATGTGATTTTCAGGATGCCTACGCTCTACGCGTCCTCAGGTCAGCGGCCTCCCCATCAGTTCCAGCTCTGGTTAGTACCGAAACCGCTGGCCAAGATTTACAATAGTAGTAGTTGCGAATCGATGTGTATCTTGGGGACTCAACGAAGAAATGCTCTGTTACTAGTATCCCAAAAGTAACACCCCAAACACACATATCACATTCCCCAAAAGCATAGATAATTCTTAATCTAAGCACAGCTGTTGCCTCACGTTACAACATGCATACTCTTACTTCCCCAATAAGTCAGGGAAACAAAAGGGTAAACCTTCTGGTTGTTACCACATTACAAGAACCCCAGAAGTTCAAAGGTTGGGTATTGGAGAACTAGGTATTGGACATAAACCCTAAACCCTAAACTCCT